ACATTCTTATCCCTCCATATTACTAATCTGTACATTTATTTTGTAAATAAATGGCATCAGTTTTTTCAGAGTCACTATTTTGCTTCCACAGGGTTGGGTCAATGGATAAACTGTTTAACCCTTTCACTGTCGGTCCCATAATACGTATTACGGCTTTAAGGCCAGTGTCAGTCCCGTAATACTATGCCAAAATTCTAGCAGCTTCCAATCTTGCAGGAGAAAGCTGTTAGACCTGTATATGAGAAAATGGGCCTGAGTGGTCAGTATGCACAGTATAAAAAAAATCCTGCAGCATGCAGTGCATAATGTGAAAAAAAACTCGGACCGTGTTTTTAGTTAACAACAGCGAATTTGGGGTGTATTTTCATGTGGTATTTATGGTTGTATTCTCATTTTCTTAGTCTCTTTTGATAGAATGGAAGATACATTACAGAAATAGAATGATTTTGAATGGTTTACGGGCTAAAAGTACCTGGAAATTGAGCTCAAAGTAGCAGAAATGTTTGATTTTTGCCGATGTTCAAGAGTAAACAAATCACATCATGCTTTCCAATACATGTCAACTAGTGGGTCTAATGTGCTTTCACAAATATACTGATATTATTTATATAATTTTTACAGTAATGCAATAGTCTTCATGACAGTAAATCTTCTAATTTTTGTGTCAATTAAATTTCAAAATGGAAAGCAAGCATAATATAAGAGGGGCCTGGAGAAGTGAGTAATGAACAGAGAAAATATTATTTTAGTGCTAGGAATGTTTGCTTTGTTAATTCTAGACCTTATTTTGAAATTGGCCTTTCTTGAATTGTGTATGAAATTGGCCAAATTACCAATTTCTGATCAGTTTATTGGGTAGTTGAAATCGGTAAATTGGCGGTTTCTTGTACTCTTTTGATAGAACAAAAGGAGTTCTAGCGAAATAACTAGGAGTTTGGTCAACTGGAACAATGGAATTGGCTGAAAATGGGGCTCAAAGTGGGTGAAATCATCGATGCATAAACATCGCCGAGACCTCTTAACTTTGCAGGAGCGTAATTCTGCAAGTTTCCCATCAAATTTTGTACTTTTGGTTTCATTACCACCAGGAAAAGATTTTCTGTCATTTCATAACAAAAATTAGTTTTTTTCTTAATTCTTCGACACTGAGAGCAAATTTGTGAGCAGGGGTTTCATCAGTGAAAGAGTCAGATACCTCTTTACATCTATGATAGCATCTCTCTGTATTCTTTCTTAAAGATCTAATACCCTGTACACCTTGCATTCCTCCTATTAGTTTATTCTTTGACTGTTTATTTGCATAGTGGTGCAATATGCTAATGCTTCATTACCTCTTTCTGTTATCAAATCCATCATACTATCTGTAAGGTAAAGAAAATTTTTCTATTTAACTCGTGCCTTTCAGATACCTAATTCATATTCTGTTTTTTTTTTTTATTCCAACCCATTTTGAAACTTTTCACTTGCATGCAGGCTTTGCTTCCCATAGGGAAGAATATTTTTGCATCAAATACAAAAATTATTTATTTTATTTATTAACACATCGGCCGAGTCCCACCAAGGCAGGGTGGCCCGAAAAAGAAAAACTTTCATCATCATTCACTCCATCACTGTCTTTCCAGAGGGGTGCTTTACACTACAGTTTTGAAACTGCAGCATTAACACTCCTCCTTCAGAGTGCAGACACTGTGCTTCCCATCTCCAGGACTCAAGTCCGGCTCGCCAGTTTCCCTGAATCCCTTCATAAATATATTACTTTGTTCACACTCGAACAGCATGTCGAGTATTAAAAACCATTTGCCTCCATTCACTCCTATCAAATACGCTCACATGCTTGCAGGAAGTCCAAGCCCCTCGCACACAAAACCTCCTTTACCCCCTCCCTCCAACCTTTCCTAGGCCGACCCCAACCCCACCTTCCCTCTACTACAGATTTATACACACTCGAAGTCATTCTGTTTTGTTCCATTCTCTCTACATGTCCAAACCACCTCAACAACCCCTCCTCAGCCCTGTGGATAATAGTTTTGGTAATCCCGCACCTTCTTCTAATTTCCAAACTACAAATTCTCTGCATTATATTCACACCACACATTGCCCTCAGACACGACTTCTCCATTGCCTCCAGCCTTCTCCCTGCTGCAACATTCATAACCCGTGCTTCACACCCATATAGGAGTGTTGGTATAACTATACTCTCATACATTCCCCTCTTTGCTTCCATGGGCAAAGTTGTCTCCACAGACTCCACTCACCATTAACAATTTTTCCTCATCAGTTCTATGATTCACCTCATCCTTCATAGACCCATCTGCTGACAAGTTCACTCCTAAATATCTGAATACATTCACCTCCGTACTCTCTCCCTCCAATCTGGTATCCAATCTTTCATCACCTAATTTTTTTTTGTTATCCTCATCACCTTACTCTTTCCTGTATTCACTTTCAATTTTCTTCTTTTACATACCCTACCAAATTCATCTACCGACCTTTGCAATTTCTCTTCAGAATCTCCCAAAAGCACAGTGTCATCAGCAAAGAGCAACTGTGATAACTCTCACTTTGTGTTTAATTCTTTATCTTTTAACTCCACTCCTCTTGCCAAGACCCTTGCATTCACTTCTCTTACAACCCCATCTATAAATATATTGAACAGCCACAGTGACATCACACATCCTTGTCTAAGGCCTACTTTTACTGGGAAATAATCTCCCCCTCTCCTACATACTCTAACCTGAGCCTCACTATTCTCGTAAAATCTTCACTGCTTTCAGTAGCCTACCTCCTATACCATACACCTGCAGCATCTGCCACATTACTTCCCTATCCACCATATCATATGCCTTTTCCAAATCCATAAATACCACAAAAACCTCTTTAGCTTTATCTAAATGCTGTTCACCTATATGTTTCACTGTAAACACTTGGTCTACACATCTCCCCTACCTTTCCTAAAGCCTCCTTGTTCATCTGTTATCCTACTCTCTGTCTTACTCTTAATTCTTTTTTTTTTTCTTCTTCCAACAAACTGGCCGTATCCCACCAAGGCAGGGTGACCCAAAAAGAAAAAGAAAAGTTTCTCTTTTCAAATTTAGTAATTTATACAGGAGAAGGGGTTACTAGCCTCTTGCTCCCGGCATTTTAGTTGCCTCTTACAACACGCATGGCTTATGGAGGAAGAATTCTGTTCCACTTCCCCATGGAGATAAGAGGAAATAAACGAGAACAAGAACTAGAAAGAAAACAGAAGAAAACCCAGAGGGGTGTGTATATATATATATGCTTGTACACGTATGTGTAGTGTGACGTAAGTGTAAGTAGAAGTAGCAAGACGTACCTGTAATCTTCCATATTTATTAGACAGACAAAAGACACCAGCAATCCTACCATCATGTAAAACAATTACAGGCTTTCGTTTCACACTCACTTGGCAGGATGGTAGTACCCCCTGGGTGGTTGCTGTCTACCAACCTACTACCTCTTCCCCTATAATTTTTTCACTCTTTTTATCCCCTTTGCCTTTATACAAAGGAACTATGCATGCTCTCTGCCAATCCCTTGGTACTTTACCTTCTTCCATACATTTATTAAATAATAGCACCAACCACTCCAAAACTATATCCCTACCTGCTTTCAACATTTCTATCTTTGTCCCGTCAATCCCAGATGCCTTACCCCCCTTTCATTCTTCCCACTGCCACACGAACTTCCCCCGCACTCACAACTGGCTCTTCCTCACTCCTACAAGATGTTATTCCTCCTTGCCCTATACACAAAATCACAGCTTCCCTATCTTCATCAACATTTAACAATTCCTCAAAATATTCCCTCCATCTTCTTGATACCTCTAACTCTCCATTTAATAACTCTCCTCTCCTGTTTTTAACTGTCAAATCACATTTGCAACATCTGGATATCTTTATTGTAGACGTTTTGCCATCCAGTGGCTTTATCAATAGATTCTAGGACATAATTGGAAGACAGTAGAACTATATACAAAAGATGAGGTAATCAGTCCCTCAGCCTTGGAGTTAGTGTTCACAGCATGGTGGTGGAGGAGAATCTGGAGCAAAGGCAAGAAGACTGGCGGTTATATAGGCATCAGTGGATAAAGACGGGCAGCAGACGAGGGCATAGTCACTGGTAGGCGGGATTCCCCAGTAGGTCCTTCCCAAAGAGATGGGTTAGTTGTAGCAGCCGTGAAGAAGGTCTTGTAGATGTCCTCTGAACCAAAATTCCATGATGTTGCAGTGTCTGACAAGTTGTGCAAGAAAGGTATAAAATACCGACAATATGAAAGTTAAGACACATTTGCAACATCTGGATATCTTTATTGTAGTCGTTTCACCATCCAGTGGCTTTATCAATACAGGTTCTAGGACATAATTGGAAGACAGTAGAACTATATACCTTTCTTGCACAACTTGTCAGACACTGCAACATCATGGAATCTTGGTTCAGAGGACATCTACAAGACCTTCTTCACGGCTGCTACAACTAACCCATCTCTTTGGGAAGGACCTACTTCCACTGGGGAATCCCGCCTACCAGTGACTATGCCCTCGTTTGCTGCTATATAACTGCCAGTTTCCTTGCCTTTGCTCCAGATTCTCCTCCACCACCATGCTGTGAACACTAACTCCAAGGCTGAGGAACTGATTACCTCATCTTTTGTATATAGTTCTACTGTCTTCCAATTATGTCCTAGAATCTGTTTTGATAAAGCTACTGGATGGCGAAACGTCTACAATAAAGATATCCAGATGTTGCAAATGTGTCTTAACTTTCATATTGTTGGTATTTTATACCTTTCTTGCACAACTGTCAAATCCATTTGTTCCTTAGGTTTCCTTCACTTTTTAATACAAAAATGAGTGACTATAAAGCAAAAGGCTATTTGTAGGTAAAAGTGGCTTTAAGAAAGCCAAATGTTGTCCATACACCTCTTTTTACTTTATTCCAGAGGCAGAATATCGACACATAATCCTTTTTATTTTCAGATTCCGACACAGAGAATGATCTTATTAATATGGCAACTCAGGAGACAGACAAGCAATTTCAAAAATTCAGAATGCGAATCAAAGACTATCCTGATCAAGTGAGTGATGTGTTATTTGTATTGAAATAAAGATATAGTAGGAAAGTGAAAATTATACTCAACAACTATCAGAGTTTACTTGTTAATAGTATGTTAAAGAGGGTCTCAGTAGTTGGCTGTACCTCCAGTTCGCTTTCAGATTGTAGATATTGTACGCTTCAGTCTCAGAAACAATTCTAGGTACCACTTTTTTTTTTTTTTTTTTTAACATGTCAGCAGTCTCCCACCGACACAGGGTGACCCCAAAACGAGAGGAACACTTTCACTATCATTCATTCATAATCACTGTCAGTCACATTTTATCATGCTCACTCTCCAACAAAACATCAAATCCCATGATTCGCTTCTCCACTCAGTCCAATCTAAGACACACTTGGGGAAGTGTAACTAGGAGGGTTTTACAAAGATCAATATTAAGACCAGAACTGTTTCTGGGTTATGTGAATGATATACCAGTTGGATTTGAATTGGATGTGTTTCTGTTTGCTATTGTAAAACTAATGAGAATAAAAATGGATCAGGAAAGGGAAAGGCTCCAAATGGATCTGGACAAACTGCAAGACTGGTTAGATAAATGGTTCAGAATTCAAAAATTTTATTTATTTATTTGTGGTGAAATATTGTCAAGCACAAAGAAAGCCACTAACATGCAAGAATGTAAATTTTGGAGATAAAGGGTGCAGAATTCATTCAGAGAAATATTTACCGGTGACCATAGTGCCTGATATATCGCTAAAGGCTCGTATCAGCTGAGTAACCTCTGCAACCAGTGCTTGTTTGACAAATCTAAGAGTAACCTACAGGAATTTCAACAGTCATTCTGGGTCCTTTATAAACATGTCAGACTCATTTTGGAACCCACACCTGAAAAAGTAAAGGGGTATGAAACTAGACTTGTTCCTGAGCGAAGGGGTATGAGTTACAAAGAGAGGCTCATGAACTTTAATCTAATAACATTGCAGGACAGGAAAACCAGGGGAGATATGGTAACATACAAAATACTCAGAAGAATTGATAGTTGACAGGGACAGGTTGTTTGAGAGGTGAGAAACAATTAGGCACTCGAGGACACAACTAGAAGCTAATGACACAAATGAGCCACAAAAATATCAGGCAATTTTTCTTCACTTTCAGAGTTGTCAGGGAGTGGGATTATCTCAGTCAAGAAGTGGTAGAGGCATACTTCTTGTGTAATTTTAAGAGCAAATACAATAAAACAAACACGAACACTTTTGTTTCCACAAGATACAGTACCAATGAAAAGCCCCTGGTTTTGCATAGCATTTCATGCAAGATACAACTTAAGACTAATGGAGCATAATAGACATAGCATTTCAAATGTGTGTTTATAAAGACATTAAAGAGACATTACTTTTAATGACATTAACAAACATACATATATGAGAGAAGATTAACCTTTTAACAGTGTTGAATGTACTGGTATGCAGGGGATGACTGTATCCGAAGTACTAGTATGCATGCACAATTTTTTTGTGCGTCAGTATGCCAACTGTCAATATTTTTGACCTCAGCACAACTGTTTGGGTCTATCCTACAGCCTCTTCATACTGGTGAAAAAATCCAAGACCAGACAGGTCCAAGTAATGCTTCATGGGTAGAATTGCTTAGCCAGCATAAGCAAAAATGAAACCAGGACCTGTTGTTCACCCACCAGCTTTCCTACCAGCAAACAGGGTGTAGAACTACCAGGAACATGCCTTATTCATTTCAGATTCATTACAATTAAATGATATTAAACATTGGAATTCAGCCAAAAAGCACACTATGTACATTTAACCTAGAATAACCCAGTATAGTCAGTGTAACTTACTTCCATTTTTTGATGAGTATTACACCTTGAAACAAATGTAATATAAGACTTTTTTGTCAGTATGTGTTTTACAGTGGTCTTGAAGGCACACAGGTGATATGGATACACAAAAATTACTTTGTTTATATAACCAACATATTTCCTTAACCCTTTGAGGGTCCATCCCGTAATTCTTCGGTTTTGAAGCCAGGGTCCAAACTGTAGTCCTACATCATGAGCTGAGCTCATTCAGATAAGCTGTGAGCAGTAAATATGGGCCTAGATATGAGAGAATGCATCTATGTGGTAAGTGTGCACCATATAAAATAGATTCTGCAGCATGCCATGCATAATGAGAAAAAAACTGCAACCGTGTTTTTGGATTAAAACAGTGACGTTGCGGTGTATTTTTGTATGGTTTTTATGGTTGTATTCACGGTTTCTTGGTCTTATTTGATAGAATACAAGATATGTTATAGAAATGATTTTGAAAAATAGCTTGAAATTGAGCTTAAAATAGCAGAAATGTTTAATTTTTGCCAATGCTCAAGAGTAAACAAATCACATCATGTGTCCAATACACATCAACTGGTGGGTCTAATATGTGTTCATGAATGCGCTGATATTATTTATACAATTATTGCAATATTGCATAACAGTAAATCTATTTTTTGGAGTGAATGAAAATTCTTTATGTGAATAAAAAATCGATATGGAATTTAACTGTAAAGCCTGGAAACATGTCTGATAAACAGAGGAAATGTTATATTAGTGCCAGGAATGCCTTCATTGTTTATTCTGGACCCTATTTTGGAATATTTTGAACTTTGTGTGAAATTGGCCAAAATACCAATTTCTGATTACTATTGGGTAGTTGAAATAGTTAATTGGGCAGTTTTTTTTGCTTAGTTGATAAAATAGAAGTGATACTAGTGAAATAGCTAAGAACTTGGTTGACTTGAACAATGTGCAAACCCCCCTTTTTGTTTACTGTCTAAAAAGATAAAAGTTTCTATTTTTTTTATACACTTGTAACTATCTTTTGCAATCCTCCATTAGTTAACTCCTATATTTTTTTACTCTCTAGTGTGTGCAGTCTATAATAATTAGTGAAATACAATCTGAAATTAAGTATGTATTACTGTTTTGAAACCCCCTTTTTTGTTTACTGTCTAGCATTAGCACAAACACTGTTAGGTGCTATTGATATACCTAGTCATTATTTTTTAATACTAATCATGCAATTTGTTTATGGTGTTATTACTTGCCTAAATTTTGTGCCTTAAGTCAAATCTTACTACTAAAATTTTATTTAAGATCTTTTTTACTATCTTTTAACTTTATACTTTTTGTATTATTATTACTTATTTAGTATCTATCTGTGCAGTTTGTAGAATAGTTCTTCTGCTACCTACACTTTGTACTGCTTGTATAAGCTCTCATATCACCTCCAGTGCAACATTAATAGTTATCTTTATACTATTTATACATTGTTAAACTTGTGCTAGTCATATGATTGCAAACATCGATCCTGACATTAACCTTTTATTAAATGACACACATGATCCTAACAACAATTGCCTTTATTACACTGCTAGTCAGGCAAAGACACTACTCAGTGTCAACAATAACATAACAGTATTCAATTATAATGTCAGATCACTAAGCAAGCACTATGATGACCTCCAGGCACTACTGAATTCTTTAAATGTCAGTATGTCCATCATTACTCTCACTGAAACATGGCTAAAACATGATGTTACAAACATCTGTTCCGTACCTGGCTACACAGCCATACACAATTGTAGGCCAGATCAGTTAGGTGGAACAGCTATATACTACTCTGATGAGCTAGAGTGTATATATTCTACTTCCACAAGGGATGAGCATGGTGACTATACCTTTGCTAAATTTAAATCCAAAGCCTTTACAAAACCTCTAACAATCGGAGCATTTTATAGAGTTCCTCACTCCAGTGTTTACTCTTTTAGTGAAAAACTAAGAAACATAATAACTAGCGCTGAAATGAATAAACACCACCTAATACTTACAGGGGACTTCAACATAAATCTCATCCATGACCGTGACCCACAAGTGACTGAATTCACAAACACCATGAACAACTATTTACTTCTACCAACAATAACAAAACATACAAGAATCACTGACACAAATGCCTCATTACTAGACCATATCTGGACAAACACTATATCCCCGTTAAAAGCAGGCATAATCACAGATAACACCACTGACCACTATCCCATCTTTCTCATAATCAACTTCTGTAAAGTGCCCCAGGACACAACTAAGATCACATTCCGACTGCATGACGAGTCATCTGTTAATAACTTTATTTCAGCATTTAGTGACACTGACTGGCAAAACGAGCTAGAAGACAACTTAGATATTGATGAATGTGTTAATATTTTTTTGCAAAAAACCCAAAACCTCTATAACATGCATTGCCCCCCAAAAAAAACTAAGCAGATCACAGCAAAGAGACTAAACAGCCCCTGGCTTACAAACAGCATCCTCAGATCTATTGATAAAAAACATCTATATGAAAAACAGTACAGAATGGGTCTAATAACAAAGGATCTCACAAAACGTTACTCGTCAGTACTAACCAATCTAATAAGAAGGTGACTCAAGAAATCGTAATGACACGATTGCAAACAAACCATACCCACGGGCTGGAGTTTTGAGACTATGACCGCGGGTTCAATCCCGGCCGGGGGTATGGTTAATAAGAAGGTCCAAAAAAATGTACAGGTCTCCCTCAACATTCACGTTTTCAGCTTTCGCGGGCTTCACACATTCGCGAATTCCCAACCGCCAAATTCCCAGCCACCAAATTCCCAGCCGCCAAATCATTTTCAAGTTTCCCGCCACCTGCAAGTCCCTACTACCCTCCCACCAACCCCGCAACTGGCAGCCAGCCCTCCCACCACTCAGTGTGGTGAGTGTTTTGTTTGTTCATTATTTGCTATTAAATTACAGTATAAATAATGTAAACCCATTCATGACTGCATATTGGAATGGCTATTCGGACAGGTATTAGACGGTGACATCATGTGTTTACTCTTGAACACAGCAAAGAATCAAACATTTCTGCTACTGCTAATAATAACAATAGTAATAATAATAATAATAATAATAATAATATAATAATAATAATAATAAATACGAT